GTTAAATACTTCAAAAAACATGAGTCTTACAACAAATAGTCTATTACAAGTCACAACCAAAGCCCGAAATAGTCTATTACAACCAAAAACCAATCAAGTATGGGTCGGTTTGTTGGTTTTAAGTATGGGTCGGTTTCTGGATAAAAACCGAAACCGAACCCGATTTTTTGGTTTTTAAAAAATTCAAACTCTAACCGTCGGTTTTGTTTCGGTTTCGGTTTCGTCGGTTTTAGTTCGTTTCTCGGTTTCTTGGTTTGGGTTTGCTCACCCCTAGGAAAAATTGAAAATCCCACAAGGGTACATTGAGTAAATGTAAAAATCCCACAAGGGTACATTGAGTAAATGTAAATTTGTCACTTGTTGCTCATTGACTCTAACAGGTAAGCAAGACTCTATATGATTTTAGGCCTCTCAAAACTTTCCCTTTGACTCTCCTCTATCATAGGTAACGAAGTCACGGAACAGGCACCCTGGAAGAATGAATGTCCAGAAATTAAATAATAATAATGAAATTAAAAATAAAAAACAAATAAGTCAAATTTCGTAATGCTGAAAATAGGATGTTATAAACGAAAAAAAAAATCAAATTTTAGTTTAATGTGTAATATGACAACTTACTTTAGTATCTAACGGTAATTTCTTTCTATTATAACATTCAGAAAGTAGAATGTTATTCTCAATCTATTTCTATTCCAAAAAATGAACATTTGAGTGTTCCATATAAGCATGAATGTTAGATGGAAGTTCTTGAGAAACAAATTCATGGCTCTTCATAATTCCATAAAAAGAGCTTCAATTTGTTTAATCCATATATCTTTTAATTATATCCAACCTGCACCTAAAATAAATGCATATCAAGTTAGAAATTACACTGTTTCAAGGTAAAAAGATAACATTTGATTGCTATAATTGAGTAAACGGAGGTAAAAAAAAGTTTCATTAATCAGAAGCTTGTCTTACAACAACAACAAAGCAGAATTTGAGAAGTTATCTTCACTCATCTTAATTTCCATCATAAAATAGGCAAACATGAACTACCGCTACATGGTTCTGGAAGCACTATCATCATTTACTCAAAATAGTTCCTCCATAATAAATCCAAAATGGAAAAACTCAGCCTTTCCAACTCTCCAACTGTTTTCTTCTTGTTGTTGAGGCGACAGGTGAATTTTTCTTGTTTCCATATTTTGTCCTCTGTTTCTGTTTCTGTTTCTTAGCCCCTTTAATGTCATATGCATAATCTTGAAATAAGTGAAAGTACACTGCTATTTGTTGTGATTAGCCCTAAAGTCATTAAACTCACCCCAAGAGCACAGTGGTAAGTAAATTCACATGGAAGTCAGACCTCTCATCAATAGTAACACCTGGACATTCAAAACAAAACAAATTAATAAAGGATCTATTAATGCTAAAATAAAATTCAAGATACATATGTTAGAAGTACCAATGTACTTTTGATTTTCTTTCAAGTTTTTGTTTATGTAGCATGATGACTTGTTAAAGAAAGTCAGTGAAATTAAATTTATGAGAGACTGTAAGACTTACTAACCATTAAGGAAACCATCTCATTCCCACCTTCTTTGGATTCTAATATAATCTCTCGACGGTTTGCAATTGATATATTAGAAGCTTGTTCGCTCCATAATCTATCTATCATCAGATGGAAAGAAATATGTTATATGAAAAGAAAACACAAGTTTATGTTACATGTCATAAACTCATAAATCACATTGTGTATGACAAATTCTTTTAGTTTACACCCTCATAATCTTATAAAAAGTAAGTAACTATTCATAGGTTTCTTTAAAATGAAATCTTTTAAGGAAAATAAGCAAATGCTACATAATGGCAGATATAAATGCAACATTATGAGAGACTGTCTAGAAAAAATATATATATCTAACAAAGTAAAAAGACTTTACAGTTTTGTTACATTTTACTCCTTTTTTTCATAATTTTTTTAGTTAATTATTTTCCTACATATCAGTGCATTCCAAAGGTAAAAAAAGATGTTGCTTATCAAGTGTTGTTATCAAAGTATCTATGAGCAAATACCAATACACCATAATAATATTGAGTCCTGGCCAAAATACCCCTTTCATTCACCTGTTTAACAAAAAAAAACATAAATTAAACCTTGAGTAGCAAAATCCAATTAGAGCATTTGAATGAAAGGTTGTACTTTTGGGGATATAAAAAAAATTAAAAATTAAAAAACCTTTGACATCAATCTGTCGAGGAATTACCTCATCATTGGTTACTTTTTGGTCAAGAAAAACATCAAAACAGAACTCATGCTTTTCAACCTAAGCAGTGAGGTCAACCTTTGAAAAAAGTCAAAGGTTAGTTTCTACTGTCACACATGAAGATTTATATAATTCCATCTTTACACTCATATATCCAAACCTTAAGCTTGGGCTCATGGACAGTTTGACTATTGTCACATACACTGACAACATCATCCTCCAAACGACAAATGAAATTTTGATGAATTACCTCTGTTTTTTTGCCCATATCGGGATAGAGACCTGGGCCTTTCCCCATCTCTGTTCTCCTCTTTCATCTATCTGTATCACCCTCGATCTGTCATATAAAATTCCACTGACAGCATAAGACAATTTAAGTAATAGAACAACATAAGAAAAAAAAATACTCGTTGGTGACAGAAATCGAGAAGAGAAATCAAGACGCGAAACCGTTGGACGAAAACACAGTGGAAAGCTGAAACCCAAAAACCTAAAAACGAAGGAAAAAGAAGGAATCCGAAAGTACTGAAACAACGGTTCGTCTTCAAGCCTCCAGATGTCGTACTCAACTCCAAAACGAAAACCGGCAAAGAAATTAGGGATGAGATAGTTATCTGAAAGAGATTGAACCCTAATCAGAATCAGAATCATAAGAAAACCTAAATTAAAGGTTCGATTTGGGAAAGTGGGAGTGTTCATACCTGGGTCCTACAGTAGCAAACGGAATTGGTCATGGGTATCGCCGGATTGAATCAAAAAATTGAACAAAGGTATAACGGAATTGGGCTATGATAACCCCCAAATTGGAAGAACGAAAATAGACAGGTGAACAAAGAAGAAGAAGAAGACAGATGAGAAGCGACAACCATAGAAGAACACCATCGCTAATGGGCTCCAATCGGAACCTTAACGGAGAAGGAACCAAAAGGGAAAACGGTAGGGATTGTCGAAAGGAGAGGAAGTATTAGTGTATGTGGTTATGAAAAGGTTAGAGAAGGAAGTAAGAAGGGAGGAGGAGCGGTAAATGGGAAGAAGAGAGAGTAGGGGTTATTTGAGAGGGTAAGCATCAACATAAGTGTATATGGCGGTGCCTGAGGAGGTAACACGTACCAGAATGGGCGGTGGATTGTTTGAGGAGGCAACACGTGACAGACACTAATCCATCACGTAACGTGCCAGCAAGGAATAAAAAAAAAATTAAAAAAAAACAAAAAAAAAATCAACCAATAAACAGCAAGAACTGTTGATACAGGAACTCAAAATTAATATGATTATAAATTATATATTTTTTAATAAATAATGAATGAACGGATTAAAAAAGCTAACAATTACGAATCAAGATTTGCAAATTGACTACATAGTTCGGAACACCATGTTTCGAACTATTAATGTATTTTCCAAACGAAGACGAAACTATTAATGTATGTTATGGAGTTGAGAGGTTGACGAGATGTGACAAAGCATTCTGAAATCTGACATAGCAGAACATGTACGTTCCGGACATGCGTGGTACATTCCACACCGAATATGGTAAGTTTCAGACAAATATTCCGGAGTAGTTTTCACATTAACTAAAAAAATGAGTTAATCAAATCGAGTTCACGCAGAAATTTATGCAAACCTCCCTCTTTCCTGTCAGTTTTTCATGATATTGAAAGAACAAATCTAGGAACCATTACCCACATCAAGAAATGTGTAAACGACCGTTTTGAGTTTTTATTTGTCGCTCTACCATGCGTGGTAAGATACATTTATAATGCAATACTAGTTTACTTGTAATTACAATTTCATTAATATTGTAATCAATGATGGTTAAAACCTATAGATTCAAAGATTTATAAGTTGCATGCTACTAGTGATCCACATAAGTAGCACCCCTCTAAAACGGATTTATTTACACCTATTGTTCATAGTAGTTGCTATGGACGTAAACCATCACATCTTGCCATTATCCTATGGTTTGGGCATGACACAAAATGTGGAATTGTGGTCCTGTTTTTTATGAGGCCTAGGGAATGTTTTTAAATACATTAGGGATGTAGCCTTCATAGCCATGATGGCCGATTGCAATGATGTTGCCTTTAGCCATGTCTTCACAGATTCATACCACACGTATAATTTTTGGAATTTGATCACCAAATTGTGATCAAGGACTAAAAAACCTCGACCAATGTAACTTTTGTTATAGCAGACACACAAATAGTATAGAATGTCTTATTTCGTATAAAATTTGGTTAGACTAAAACAAGGAACTCCGATTCAATGTGTTAGACTTGACAATAATGGTCATGAGAAATAGGGGTGAGCAAAAACCGAACCGATAAAAGAAAAACCGCAAAAACCGCAACCGAAAAACCGAAACCGATGGTGCGGATTTCATTTTTTTGAAAAACCGAATTTATTGGTGCGATGCGGTTTTTATCTAGAAACCGGACCACCAAAACCGCACCGCACCGCACCGCAAGCTTATCAAAAATAAAATTAATCACTAATTTATATTATACAATTATACATATTATTTAAAAAACTAATAAATCCTAATTTATACATATATTATATATTGAACTTGACGGTAATTAATAAATAGGTATTAGGTTTAATATGTGAGTTTTTCACTTTGTATTCGTGACTTAATGATTATGTGTAAACACTATGTAGGCTACAACTTGCAAGCTTGTAACTTCTAAGCGCAAATTGAATAAAAAAACGAGCTTGGGAATATAGGTTGCAAATGAAGTGATCAAGTAAACAACATAAAAAACTAAAAATTACAACTTCTAAATATGAGGAAATGAAATGATACCATGTCATATAATCATAAATCTTCACATGAACATCATGGTAAAAAAAATCGTACCGATGAACATAAAAAACCACACCATATGAATGATTCGGTTTAAAACCGACACCGAACCGGTACAAACCGAAACCGCACTCAAAAACTACAAAACCGAACCGTTGAAAAACCGCACCCAACGGTTTTTAGAATTCAAAAACCGCACCTCGCGGTTTACGGTTCGGTTTGACCCTAAAACCGCACCAAACCGCACCATGCTTACCCCTAATGAGAAATGGGCAATGGTCTTTTCTCTCTTACAATATAATGAGTTAATGACCCCTATATTCCGTTTTGGTGTTATATATATATATATATATATATATATATATATATATATATATATATATATATATAGGCTTAGGTTAT